ATTTTGTTGGGAAATTAATTTTCATTATTTTTGTCGTAGAGCCTTTAGTTTGGCCAGAAAATGGCAAAAAATTCGAATTTTGTTGGAAAATTAAAGTGATCACAGATTTTTACTCCTTTTGTCGAAGAGCCCATAGTTTGGCCAGAAAACTGATTTTAAGTTTTTCACTCAAAAATTCGAATTTTGTTGGGAAATAAAAGTGATCACAGATTTTCACTCTTTTTGTCGTATCGCAAAGTGATCACAGATTTTCACTCTTTTTGTCGTAGCGCCTTTAGTTTGGCTAGAAAATGGATTTTAAGTTTTTCACTCAAAAATTCGAATTTTGTTGGTAAATTCAAGTGATCACAGATTTTCACTCTTTTTGTCGTATCGCAAAGTGATCACAGATTTTTACTCCTTTTGTCGAAGAGCCTTTAGTTTGGCCAGAAAACTGATTTTAAGTTTTTCACTCAAAAATTCGAATTTTGTTGGGAAATAGTGATCACAGATTTTCATTCTTTTTGTCGTATCGCAAAGTGATCACAGATTTTCACTCTTTTTGTCGTAGCTCGTTTAGTTTGGCCAGAAAATGGATTTTAAGTTTTTCACTAAAAAATTCGAATTTTGTTGGGAAATTAAAGTGATCACAGATTTTCATTCTTTCTGACGTAGCGCCTTTAGTTTGGCCAGAAAATGAATTTTAAGTTTTTCACTCAAAAATTCGAACTTTGTTGGGAAATTAAAGTGATCACAGATTTTTATTCTTTTTGTCATAGCACCTTTAGTTTGGCCAGAAAATGGATTTTAAGTTTTTCACTAAAAAATTCGAATTTTGTTGGGAAATTAAAGTGATCACAGATTTTCATTCTTTCTGACGTAGCGCCCTTAGTTTGGCCAGACAATGGATTTTAAGTTTTTCACTCAAAAATTCGAATTTTGTTGGGAAATTAAAGTGATCACAAATTTCCATTCTTTTCGTCGTAGCGCCTTTAGTTTGGCCAGAAAATGGATTTTAAGTTTTTCACTAAAAAATTCGAATTTTGTTGGGAAATCTAAGTGATCACAGATTTTCATTCTTTTTGTCGTAGCGCCTTTAGTTTGACCAGAAAATGGATTTTAAGTTTTTCACTCAAAAATTCGAATTTTGTTGGGAAATTAAAGTGATCACAGATTTTCATTCTTTTTGTCGTAGTGCCTTTAGTTTGGCCAGAAAATGGATTTTAAGTTTTTCACTAAAAAATTCGAATTTTGTTGGGAAATCTAAGTGATCACAGATTTTCATTCTTTTTGTCGTAGCGCCTTTAGTTTGACCAGAAAATGGATTTTAAGTTTTTCACTCAAAAATTCGAATTTTGTTGGGAAATTAAAGTGATCACAGATTTTCATTCTTTTTGTCGTAGTGCCTTTAGTTTGGCCAGAAAATGGATTTTAAGTTTTTCACTCAAAAATTCGAATTTTGTTGGGAAATTAAAGTGATCACAGATTTTCATTCTTTTTGTCGTAGTGCCTTTAGTTTGGCCAGAAAATGGATTTTAAGTTTTTCACTCAAAAATTCGAATTCTGTTGGGAAATTAAAGTGATCACAGATTTTCATTCTTTTTGTCGTAGCGCCTTTAGTTTGGCCAGAAAATGGATTTTAAGTTTTTCACTCAAAAATTCGAATTTTGTTGGGAAATCTAAGTGATCACAGATTTTCACTCTTTTTGTCGTGGCGCCTTTAGTTTGGCCAGAAAATGGATTTTATGTTTTTCACTCAAAAATTCGAATTCTGTTGGGAAATTAAAGTGATCACGGATATTCATTCTTTTTGTCGTAGCGCCTTTAGTTGGGCCAGTAAATGGATTTTAAGTTTTTCACTCAAAAATTCGAATTTTGTTGGGAAATTAAAGTGATCACAGATTTTCACTCTTTTTGTCGTAGCGCCTTTAGTTTCGCCAGAAAATGGATTTTAAGTTTTTCACTAAAAAAAATCGAATTTTGTTGGGAAATTAAAGTGATCACAGATATTCATTCACAGATTTTCATTCTTTTTGTTGTAGCGCCTTTAGTTTGGCTAGAAAATGGATTTTAAGTTTTTCACTAAAAAATTCGAATTTTGTTGGGAAATTAAAGTGATCACAGATTTTCACTCTTTTTGTCGTAGCGCCTTTGGTTTGGCCGGTAAATGGATTTTAAGTTTTTCACTCAAAAATTCCAATTTTGTTGGGAAATTAAAGTGATCACAGATTTTCATTCTTTTTGTCGTAGCGCCTTTAGTTTGGCCAGAAATTGGAGTTTTAAGTTTTTCACTCAAAAATTCGAATTTTGTTGGGAAATTAAAGTGATCACAGATTTCCATTCTTTTTGTCGTAGCCCCTTTGGTTTGGCCAGTTAATGGATTTTAAGTTTTTCACTCAAAAATTCGAATTTTGTTGGGAAATTAACGTGATCACAGATTTTCATTCTTTTTGTCGTAGCGCCTTTAGTTTGGCCAGAAAATGGATTTTAAGTTTTTCACTCAAAAATTCGAATTTTGTTGGGAAATTAACGTGATCACAGATTTTCATTCTTTTTGTTGTAGCGCCTTTAGTTTGGCTAGAAAATGGATTTTAAGTTTTTCACTAAAAAATTCGAATTTTGTTGGGAAATTAACGTGATCACAGATTTTCATTCTTTTTGTTGTAGCGCCTTTAGTTTGGCCAGAAAATGGATTTTGAGTTTTTCACTCAAAAATTCGAATTTTGTTGGGAAATTGACGTGATCACAGATTTTCATTCTTTTTGTCGTAGTGCCTTTAGTTTGGTCAGAAAATGGATTTTAAGTTTTTCACTCAAAAATTCGAATTTTGTTGGGAAATTAAAGTGATCACAGATTTTCATTCTTTTTGTCGTAGCGCCTTTAGTTTGACCAGAAAATGGATTTTAAGTTTTTCACTAAAAAATTCGAATTTTGTTGGGAAATTAAAGTGATCACAGATTTTCACTCTTTTTGTCGTAGCGCCTTTAGTTTAGCCAGAAAATGGATTTTAAGTTTTTCACTAAAAAATTCGAATTTTGTTGGGAAATTGAAGTGATCACAGATTTTCATTCTTTTTGTCGTAGCGCCTTTAGTTTGGCCAGAAAATGGAGTTTTAAGTTTTTCACTAAAAAATTCGAATTTTGTTGGGAAATTGAAGTGATCACAGATTTTCATTTTTTTTTTGTCGAAGCGCCTTTAGAGAATGGATTTTAATTTGTTGGGAAATGTGATCACAGTTTTGGCTTAACAGAATTTAAGACTGTTAGTACTAATTGTTTTAAAATTCAATGAAATGAAAAATTCTTTGATAAATTTTTGTTTGCAATAAATTCTATTTATTAACATAATCCATTTATGGATTTAAAATAAAAACAACTACAAAAAATAAATAAATATAAGTAGTATTATTAATACCACAAAATATACAATATTTTACTTGTACATAAATAAGTACATAATTTATTAAATATGACTTAAAACTGTCATATTTAAATATTTCCATTTAAACGTTAAGTCGAAAGCACGGTCCTTTAAACATTATAAAAAGAGGTCAATCCGCCACGTTGAAGCAAAATATAAAGCGTAAGCCAAGTCCGTAATAGGGTCATCATCAAAATCTTTAAAAATTATTAACTTTACAAACTATCTACATATATTAAATTTTATACATAATAAATACTAATAAGTATGTACTAACTTAAATTTTATCACATTGACCTTAAACTACAAAGTATTCAGAATTTCTTTAGGCTGCTGTTGATTGTTGTTGTCCCTGATCCGGTTGTTGTGCCGTGCTCGATGATGAAACCGTACTCGTAGACTCGGGTGCTTTTTCATTTATAGCTAACCAAGGTAAACGTTTTTGCAATTCCAAACGATATTTTGGATGACTTATGGCATAAACAAATGGATCAATGCAAGCAACCATTTTACAGGCACAAGCCGGTATCATTGTTACACCCGGTGTTAAAAGACTTTTATCGCCGAAGGCTCCTATCAAAGACATTACACCGTATGGCGTCCACGATACGAAGAATAGAAAACATATTGTTATGGCTGCTTTAGCTATACGAATCTCTGCAGTATCTTTACTTTTGTCAACGTTAGAGCGCAATGATTCCACATTCATTTTTTTCGCTTGCTCCCTCAAAGCCTTTTCGTGACTGAAGACATGCCCTACGATTTGACTATAATAGTAGATGATCATAACGGTGGGGCAAACAAAGCTAAAGAAGAAAATCGTACCAACAAAAAGGCGTGTATCGAAATTGTCCGTTAGATAATCGAAAGTGCAGGATGTTAAATAGCCTTCTGAAAATATAAAAACAGTTGTGGTATAGTAAGTTTTGAGTGTAAAGTTTTAATTAATTAAACAAAATTTTATATTCCAATTCAAAGATAATAAATCATTAGAATGTTAACTTCAAATTGTATTTATTTTTCCTTTCCCTCCTAAGTTAACAACAACTCATAAAATCATTCCTATTTTATGCAACCAAGTGAGTTTATGACTACTGAATACCTTTCAGGTATAAAACTATAATGAAACTCTAATTATTTAAAATTCATTCTTTCTATGCTCTGATTGTATATAATAATATAAATAAGATCAAATAATATTTAAATTATTAATAATTATACTCTGCCGGTGTTCTGTAACTTTTGAATTGACAAAAATGTCGAGAAATTTCTAATCGTCTTGTTTAAAACAGGGTGAACACAAGTAATTCAAAAATATATTGTTAAATTTTAATGTATTCAGTTTGAAAATTATTTGAATCACACTACTAAGAAGTGGAAGACTCATATATATTAATGTTTTTTATCGATTCGAAAAATACCGAACACAGGCACTGAATTTTCGAGAGAAATTATAAAATAAAACATATATTTCCAATTCCTCTTACAAAATACAACCCTGCTAACTACTACCCCTGATTATTGGTTACTAAAAACAAACGTTATTGAGTAATCAATAACCCCAAGTACTAAGTACTTTAACAGCACTAATATTTAGTAGTAATATAAAAAGTATCATTGCAACTACGACTATAAAATTTTTTGTAGATAAAATTTAAGGGAAAAAAACTAAAATTTCTTAGAGAAAACCCCATAATTAAATATAAATCATTTAAAATATTATAAAACAGTGTTTATGTCATATAGTAATAAATAAAAACTTAATTAAACATAGAAAGAATAGATATTTTAAAAGAAATTTGTTAAATGAAAACAGCCTGTAATCACAAATGTTAACACGATTAACTACGACAACCATTACAAAAATACGAGGAAAATAGAAATATAACAAAAATTATAAAAAAAGAAAACAGTTTTTTAGCAGCAAGAAAATTAAAGAAAATGTTTAAATTAATAATTTATTCTATGATTTATATAGCTGAATAATACATACAAAATAATAAATAGATTACAAAAGTAATTTATTAATTAAAATAAGAACATTTTGCTTTTATAAAAGAAAAAATTAAAACGCTGCTTTTGTTTTCAAAGCAGCGACGTAGACGTTTTATACAAAAAAAAGTGACAACAACATAATACCACCACCATAAATAAAGAAAAGAAGAAAAAAACAATACACAACACAATAACAATTTGGTCATATGAAACGTCAGCGTAGAACATATGATGCTGCTGCTTTAGTATAAAAAAAGAAGAAAATTGGTCTGTCATCTCTACGAACGTGTTTTAATAGTGAGTGTTTTTTTTTTTTTTGTATAAAAATAAATTAAATATTTTACTATTTAAAAAAAGTAATAACCAAAGTATAAACAAATAGCTAAAAAGATAAAGCAACAGAAAAAAAGTATAACAAAAAGTAAATGTCAAAATCCTTAATAATTGGAATTCATTATCAATTCTTGTAAAAGAAAATAAAAATAGTTGATTACACATGCACACACATGAATGCAGACAGACATGCATATATTAAAAGGTCAATCAACAACGTGTGTAATTTTTTTTTCATATGTAATATTTTTTTGTTTGTTTTTAATTTCCCCTACCGTTAGTTTGATGATACCACCATTATTTATATTTAAATGAAAACAGACGCAAACAGACATAGAGCGCTATACGAACGCAATTTGTGACTTATTACCGTTGTTTTTTCTCTACTCATTCATTTATTACTCAAACGTACAGTGTGAAGTAGACAGACATAAAAAATAAAAAAACAAAGATTAACCATTATATTGCTTTACTTGCTTATTGCAACCACCTGAATTCCTCGAAACTAGAGAGACAAACAATAACAACACACATTTTTGTATGTTTGTAACCAACCAACCAAAGAAACTTACAAACATACATATGTACATCCTTACAGACACTGCTGCTGCAGTATATAATTGTAGTTTTTTTAGTTAGTTGCTATAAAATAAATCAAAATTTAAAAAATCATTAACATTTTAACTTTTTGTATGCACATTACTTAGTTGCGAATGTCTTATCATATTTAGATATTATTTGTAACATCTCTAAGGAAAGGAAATAAACATAAAACAAGCTGAAACAGTTTCTTTAACATGGATGCAATGTACTTAAAGTGTTTAATAAAATTGGGATTCTTCAGAATTCTTATTGCTGGACTTAGGAACGTAGGCTCTTATTTTTTACAATTATTTAACAATAGACTAATCCATAGATTAGTGCATAAACTAGTCCATGGACTATTATGGATATAGTTTAGTCTTAATACTAGACCATATACTAGTTTATAGAATAGTCCGTAGATTAGTCAATAGGTTAGTCCACAGAATAGATAATGAACTAGTCTATTGAGAGGTCCACAGACCAGTATATTGATATTTTTCTTAATACATATTATTCTTGGATCTGTTACTGCTTTGTTACTGTACTGTCCATAATCTCTCTTATATAGTGTATTATGTAGTCGGTCAGTGGTCATTTTTTTCTTTAGTTGAATAAATGTACATATAATTTTTGTGTGACTAAATAATTATATGTATATGTACATTAGGGTGGCACCAAATGAATTTTACAAATCATTATAATATTTAAAGTTATTTTTAAAAGTTATGATTTAAACTAAACACCTTTCGATGATTTGAAATGTGACAATATTGAAAAACTTTTTCAAAAGAAAAATTTAACTTGTTTAGATGCCATACGATTTTTCAGTTTAAATTATAAATACATTAATCCTAGATATGGGTCTTAGTAAAAGGCTTCCTTTAAGATCAGAAGAAGTAATAAAGCAACTTCAACTTATCTTTTTCAGTCAACAAAATCATCATCATAGTAGTTTTCTTGTTGAATAGGTATAATCTACAAATTTTGTTAATTACTTTGAGAAACGTAGCCAAAGTATGCAACCACCCTAATATACTTACAATTCGACTATTGGAATACATACAATGTCTGAATATAGTGGTATTTAGTTTCTGCAGCTAAATTTTGTTTTTTAGTTTTATTTCGTCTGTCTGGTTTTCTGTTGCCATAAAATTTGCAAATTCATTAAGAAAACAAGAAAATTCAAGAAATTTATTTGTTTAAAATATAAAATAAAAAAAAAAGAGAAGCAACAGCAGCAACACTCGGGTGTTATGTATTTCGGTTACATGTTTATTTAAATTTTACTTAATAATAAAACTAATTGTGTTACGCTTGTGGCAAGTGTGCTCGGTACCGAAAAGTCATCTGTTTCAGAGTTAACTGTCTGAAATTATTATGATAATTTGATAATGGCACTATACAAAAACGTGAAATGCTATGGATGAGTTTTAAGTAAATAGATACTAGTTAAAATTACAAAATGTTTTAGGTGTTTTGAAAAAGACGGCTTTATTTAAAATAATTTATTTGGGTTTTTTTAGTTTGTTATAAATTATTTTTTCAGAGATTTTTTCAGTTACAAATTGTCTGCAACGGCAGTAGGATAGAGTGAAATATAACGTGCTTTTTATAGTTTTTATAATATACAAAAAGTGGTGCAAATAAACTGAGTTCTAAGTTTGTTACTCATAATAACTGTTAGTGAAATATTTATAAATAAAACTTTATTGGAAAACCCGATTATGGTAAATCCCGAAGAAAATGGAAAATTTTTCAGTTCTTAAAAAAAATTGTATGAAATGCATAGAAAATCGTCAGATAGATAGATAGATAGATAGATAGATAGATAGATAGATAGATAGATAGATAGATATATAGATAGATAGATAGATAGATAGATAGATAGATAGATAGATAGATAGATAGATAGATAGATAGATAGATAGATAGATAGATAGATAGATAGATAGATAGATAGATAGATAGATAGATAGATAGATAGATAGATAGATATATAGATAGATATATATATAGATAGATAGATAGATAGATAGATAGATAGATAGATAGATATATAGATAGATAGATAGATAGATAGATAGATAGATAGATAGATAGATAGATAGATAGATAGATAGATAGATAGATAGATAGATAGATAGATAGATAGATAGATAGATAGATAGATAGATAGATAGATAGATAGATAGATAGATAGATAGATAGATAGATAGATAGATAGATAGATAGATAGATAGATAGATAGATAGATAGATAGATAGATAGATAGATATATATATAGATAGATAGATAGATAGATAGATAGATAGATAGATAGATAGATAGATAGATAGATAGATAGATAGATAGATAGATAGATAGATAGATAGATAGATAGATAGATAGATAGATAGATAGATAGATAGATAGATAGATAGATAGATAGATAGATAGATAGATAGATAGATAGATAGATAGATAGATAGATAGATAGATAGATAGATAGATAGATAGACAGATAGATAGATAGATAGATAGGATCTGAACAAAGGTACTGAATAAAAGAACTAAATGTATTCAGAATTGGTCCAAAATTGATTCAGAATAGGTTCAAAATCGATTCAGGATAGTTAATCAGAAAGTATTCAGAATAATTCTTAACAGATTCAAAACAAAACAAATAATACTCAACAGTCTTAATCAATGCGTTTCAATTAAATACAAAGCCAAATCTAAAAGATTATTTGGATCCATAAGATATTAAAGATCTTCAGTAAACTACTTTTATATGACAAAATAAATGAATATTGAGTTTCCAACGGAAACATTCATATTCATTACTTAACTAAACTATTAAAAAGACATTGTTATGTGTGAAAACCCTAGAGAACACACCATTAGTAGTATAGACTTTCACTCATTAAATCACCATAAGGAATTAAATAATTACACCTTGTATATTACACACATAAATTGTTTAATCAATAAAATCTAATAACTTTTTTTATTTCTCTGTATTTTTTTTTCAGATAACAATACCATTTTCAATGTAAAAGCACAATAAGACTTTACAATTAGTTAACAAGAGTTTCGTTTCACATTTGGTTTTAATAATTTCTACGCCACCATCAACAACAACAACAACAATTAAAACAACAATAATTACAATAACGGTTTTAATAACTGCCAATAACTATTAGAGGAGTCCAGAATAGTAAGTTTTAATAAAAAATTATTAAAATTCTAAAATAATAATAAAAACACAGGGACAATTTTCTAAAACTACACAATACCAAAGTCCAATGTCTAATAAAATAAATCCTAAACGACGTGAAACACCAACTGGTACTGCTACAGGCAACTCTAGTACTAGCAATACATCAGCCAATACATCATCATCGTCTAGTTCGTCATTGTCGTCCGCCGGTGGCGGTGATGTCGGTATGTCGACCGATCTAACATCATTATTTGAATGCCCGGTGTGCTTTGACTATGTTCTGCCACCCATATTACAATGCTCCAGCGGTCACTTGGTCTGTGTCTCGTGCCGTTCCAAGCTCACCTGCTGTCCCACATGTCGTGGCCCACTCGCCAATATACGCAATTTGGCCATGGAGAAAGTGGCCTCGAATGTCAAATTTCCCTGCAAACATTCGGGCTATGGCTGTACCGCCTCATTGCTCTACACCGAGAAAACAGAACATGAAGAGACCTGCGAATGTCGACCCTATTTGTGCCCTTGTCCAGGTGCCTCCTGCAAATGGCAGGGACCTCTCGATCTAGTCATGCAACATTTAATGATGTCACACAAGAGTATAACAACACTACAGGGGGAGGATATAGTATTCTTAGCCACAGATATTAATTTACCCGGGGCCGTTGACTGGGTCATGATGCAGTCATGTTTTGGTCATCATTTCATGTTGGTGCTAGAGAAACAGGAGAAATATGATGGTCATCAGCAATTCTTTGCCATTGTGCAGTTAATAGGCTCCCGCAAAGAAGCCGAGAATTTTGTTTATCGTTTGGAATTGAATGGCAATCGCCGACGTTTAACCTGGGAAGCTATGCCACGTTCCATACATGAAGGTGTGGCCTCAGCCATACACAATTCCGACTGTCTGGTCTTTGACACCTCGATTGCCCAACTATTTGCCGATAATGGTAATTTAGGCATCAATGTTACCATTTCAATTGTATAATAACAACAACCACAACAATATTAAAAGTGATTAAGGAAGAATTTAATTTAATAAATCATCCAAAAATTGGAGAGAGATAAATGAGAAGTATATATATAAATATTAATATAAATTATAAAATAAAATTATAATAATTAAAAAAAGAAATATATAAATTTAATTAAATAACATGCTTGGCTCATGGTTTATATATGTATAAGAAGACACAATACATTATATACATATACATATACATAACTACTTGCCGTATATAACATACAAGATTATGTGAAAGCAAACAATCATCAATTTATTTGTTAAAATCTTTAATTTTCTTTCTAGAAATTCTATAATAATTTTATGTATAAATTAGAAAAGTTTTTAAAAAACTTTTCTTTCCTTTTTTTCATCTTTGTTTTGAAAAGTTTTATTAATATTTTTGAGTTTACTACTAATATACTTTAGAATTTTTCTTTTTAATTTTAATATTTAAATGGAATAGTTTACGTTTTGTATATTTTAAAAACAAATTGCTTAAATATCAATTACATCTTCAATTCTATAAAAAAAATAATTAATGCAAAACGATTTAGTGTTTTGTTACATTTTACTTTCTAAGAAATAAATATCTAACAGTTTTCTTATGATTCGACACTTTTTCGTTATTTAGTAAAAACTATTATATTTAAGTAAATAATATTTGGGAATTCTTTCTTAAATAACTAGTTCCAGAAGTAGTACCGCTTTAGATTATTAGACAGCTTCTTTGAAACTTAAATATTGTTGTAATTCTATAGAAATTCTAAAACGTTTTCTAGAAACTTATTTTTGGTAGTTAGTTCTAAGTCTAATACTACCCTAGTTTAATAGAACTAATCTAAAAACTATTCCTAAGAACGTGTACTTGTTCTCTAAAGCTCGTCCTGGATCTAGGTTCGATAATGACTATTTCAAACAAACAAAAATATTGCTTAAAGAACACTAGAATTGTTCTATAGAATCAATATTAAAGCTATATAAGTCTAATGATTTTGAAAATGTTGTTTTAGATTTTCTTTCGGCCTTTTGAAACAGGCAGTTTATATTGTATCAGGTTGGTAGGTTTGGCTACTGTTAGAAAGCGACAAATGGAAACAGAAAACAAAACCAGGAATAGAGAGTTGAAGGCGTAAGCTAATGAAGGATATTTATAAAGAAACGGTGTTGATGGAAGGGAGAGAAATAAACAAAGAGTCAACGACGCTTATGGACATCAAGCGGTTACCATTAGCCAACCAATTACACTGCCTTATGAAGTCCTACAACAACAGTTCTACAAGTAATGTTTGTTCAATCGACTCCTCCTTTTTGTCGTGACAACATCTATAGTAGTCGTTATTAGGAATTCTAAGTTTAAAACGAGTTTGTTTTAGGATATATGCTGTCCGTTGCCTATCCAATCTTGTGCATTTCCAATTCACTGCCCTTTTTATGACCGAAAGTTAAGTTGAGTGAAAGGTATCTGTAGTACTTTTCTTTTATTACACATATTGCCTATCTAAAGAACATACCGTCTGAGATATAACTGAAAATATGTAAAGGAAAAATTATGGAATTTTTTCGGAATTTTGTTCATATTAATGGATTGATTTTGATAATTTTAAAGAGCAAACCTGGTAGAATGTACCAAGATTTGGATACAAAAGAAGTCTAGGAATCCAAATTTATATTCTGCAAACAGACTGACATTCTGTCCGGTCAATTGGAACTTCGTTTCGAAAAGGGCCGTGTCATACTCGAACAAAGATTGCCAACTTAGCTGTATTAATCGAAAGTTTCCGCTAAGAAAGAACTATTGGACATAGTCTAACCGGTACAACATATACAGCCCTATAGCCAATCAACATTTTATGTGAAATATTTTCACTTTTTCTGTTCACTAACTTTTTAGATATGAAAAATTTTTCCGCTGTTGTGAAATTTTGTAAACACTAAACAGCTGTTGCTAGCAAAATCAACTATTGTGAATGAATTTTAGAATTTTCGCATCGAGGGGAATTAAAATTTCACTACAATTGGCGTTAGGGGTGATTAACATTCTGAAATCGATAGATACAGGATTCAGAATATAACTCTAACAAACTTCAGGAATATTAAAAGTGAATTGTGACTTTTTGCATTCGGCGATAGGGGTGATTGACATTCTGAAATCGATAGATTCAGGATTCAGAATATAACTCTAACAAACTTCAGGAATATTAAAAGTGAATTGTGACTTTTTGCAATCAAATAAAATTAAGCGGAAATTTAAAACATTTCGAAAGAAAGATGTGATAAATCTAGGATCGAATGATAGCATTCGATAGCGAATAATAAATCTAAAACATTTTAGCTTAATTTTAATAACGAATTGCGTTTTCGTTACTAAAGCTTATTCGATTAAGAGTATCTTAATGCGACTCCGGAATAATAGATATTCTGAAATTGAATTATTACGAATTAAAATTGGAAATTTCAGAAATATACTTCAAACATGCGGAAAATCAGCTGAAAATTTTCTAAAAATACTATTGGACAAGCTAATGAAATAATCGGAATCTGATGTTTGATCGGAATAGATGTTTCAGAAGTTGAAATGCGGATTTCAGAATTATAACTGGAATCTGGAAAATTCGATAGAAATTTTCATAGATACAATACGAAAACGATAACGAAGTCTTTTGTTAAAATTACTAAAAACAGTTATTTAATACTTTTATTTATAAATCTTTAACTAATGGTAACTATTAAATGTTTTCTTAAATTTTTTTATAAATTCTAACCCAACTTTTTCATACTAACTTACTTTTTAAACATTTTCGATGGCAGTTAGAAAGAAATTATTGTTATAAACCTAAAAATGAACTGATTTTGTTTAATAATTCTAATATTTACATAGTCTTCCTATGTAAATTCAAGCAAGCATAGCAAATTTTGATATTTTTAAAATAAATTAAGATGTTTAATTAAAAAAATCTTAATTTTAATTAATTTTTTTGTTTGTTTTATTTTAAATAAACTATCTTTTGGTTGTTTAACTAATTTTATGTTTATTTAACTTTATAAAATAATAGAATTTAATGTAAATTAAATAAGATTTGTTTAAATGTTTTAATTATTTTCACTATATCCTCGAATATACACAATATAGACATTTTACTTTTTTAATTAATAAAAAAAAAAATAATAATAATTTGTTTTTTTAATTAAAAAAATAATTAAAAATAACTATATTTTTAATTAATTTAATAACAAAAAAATTATGTTTATAAAACAAATTTTAAAATTTAAATTTATAAAAAAAAAATTAAATATAACATGAATGAATGTGACAAAATGGTGTTAAAAATTGAAAGATTTGTTCACAACTACTGGACAAACTTGATTCTTAATTTTAATATTCTACACTTACACAAAAAAGAGAGAGATATATTATAAAATTATATGAGAAAAATACATAGTTTTAATATTATATTGAAAACAGCAACAATTTATCTAGTATTTAAAATTATAAGCTAAAAAATGGCATACACACAAATAAAAAGATATAAAAAATATATATAAACATAAATATATATTTTACCCTAGGTTAGTTGATCTCTAAATAATAATACCATGATAATTAATAAATAAATTGTGTTTTATTTTTATCGAGTTAATTATTTGTTAAATGTAAGTTTTCTGAGAAATTCCTATAAATAACGGGTAATTTACTGTTTATAGTGAACTGCCCTAGCAAATGTAAAAAAAAAACACTTTTATAAATGAGTCCGACTATACAATAGACTATAGATAAAACTACTATGGTCTAGACTATAGTTCAGGCTATAGCCCTAGTCTAGTCTATAGTCTAGTCACTAGACTATAGACTAGACTATAAAATAAACTATAGACTAGATTATAGACTATACTATAGACTGGACTATAGACTAGACTATAGACTAGACTATAAACTAGACTATAGACTTGATTATAGACTAGACTATAGACTAGACTATAGACTTGACTATAGCTTAGACTATAGACTTGACTATAGCTTAGACTATAGACTAGACTATAGACTTGACTATAGACTAGACTATAGCTTAGACTTTAGACTAGGTTAGACTATAGACTAGACTAGACTGTGTACTAGACTATAGACTTGACTATAGATTAGACTATAGAATAGACTATAGACTAGACTATAGACTAGACTGTAGACTAGACTATAGACCAGGTTAGACTATAGACTAGACTATAGACTAGGTTAGACTAGACTATAGACTAGACTATAGACTGGACTATAGACTAGACTATAGACTATACTATAGAATTGACTATAGACTAGACTATAGACTAGGCTATAGACTAGACTATAGATTAGACTATAGACTAGACTATAGACTAGACTATAGACTTGACTATAGACTAGACTATAGCTTAGACTATAGACTAGACTATAGACTAGGTTAGACTATAGACTAGACTGTCTACTAGACTATAGACTTGACTATAGACTTGACTATAGACTAGACTATAGATTAGACTATATACTAGACTAGACTGTAGACTAGACTATAGACTAGGTTAGACTAGACTACAGACTAGGTTAGACTAGACTATAGACTAGGTTAGACTAGACTATAGACTAGACTATAGACTAGACTATAGACTAGACTATAGACTAGACTATAGACTAGACTATAGACTAGACTATAGACTAGGCTATAGACTAGACTATAGACTAGACTATAGACTGGACTATAGACTAGACTATAGACTAGACTATAGACTAGACTATAGACTAGACTATAGACTAGACCATAGATTATACTATAGACTAGACTAGACTATAGACTAGACTATAGACTAGACTATAGACTAGACTATAGACTAGACTATAGACTAGACTATAGACTAGACTATAGACTAGACTATAGACTAGACTATAGACTAGACTATAGACTAGGACTATAGACTAGACTATAGACTAGACTATAGACTAGACTATAGACTAGACTATAGACTAGACTATAGACTAGACTATAGACTAGACTATAGACTAGACTATAGACTAGACTATAGACTAGACTATAGACTAGACTATAGACTAGACTATAGACTAGACTATAGACTAGACTATAGACTAGACTATAGACTAGACTATAGACTAGACTATAGACTAGACTATAGACTAGACTATAGACTAGACTATAGAATAGACAACATAATAGACTATAGACTAGACTTTAAATTGGACTATATACTAGATTATAGTCCTGACTAAAGACTAGACTATAGTCCTGACTATAAAGTAGACTATAGTCCTGATTATAGACTACATAGACTATTGACTAGACTATACTCGTCACTATAGACTGGACTATAGTCTAGATTTTAGACTATAGTAACGACTATAATTCAGATTTTAGACTAGATTATAATCCATACAATATACTGGGCTATAGTCAGATTATAGACTATGGATTAGACTACAGTGCCGACTAGAGATTAGACTATGGTCGACACTGTAGACTAGACTGTGCATTGGTCTTATATATCACAAATAGTAATTTTTCTACAAATTGACTTCTAAAACTTTAATCTACTACTTTAATTAACATTTAAAAATAAAACATTTTCCACTTACCCGGTACAAAACGTCCCCAACTTTCGGTGGCACATGCCACCACAAACGGTGTTGCATACATATAAATGAAAATAATCATTATAATCGCTTTGCCGTGAGTCATTTTACCCTCCAGGGGGCGAGTAATGACATTATAACGGTCATAGGCAATAAAAGCATTCGTAGTCGATGCTCCTATGCCCGTATACGAGCCGACAATAGCAAATATCTGACAACCCATGTTGCCGAGAGCAAAACCACGTTTAAAACTGTTATAAATGAAAATTGGTGTTTTGGCCATCATAAAGAAATCGCAGAGTGCCAAATTTATCACTAATATATTGGAGGGGGTGCGCAAAGATTTGGCTCTGAAGGTTAAATTTAAAAAAAGTTGAAGTAAATATTTATTTTAAACTGCATAACACTTACGCTGTAAAAACCCATATGACTAGACCATTTCCAGTTATCGACAAGATGGTAAAGAATATGTATAACATGCCTAAAAGATAATGCATTGATTCAGGTGGCTCTTGAAATTGCAACCAGTGTTCGGGTATATGACGTATTTCATCCGGTGGCACATCCCAGCCCAATAAACGACCTTCGGCAGAAAGTCTAAAATTGTAAAGCTAAAATTAATGCAAAAATATTTGGAGGTCACAGAATACGACTGATTTTTTTATCTTTTCACAAGGAATTTTTCTTTTAAATCATTAGTCCCACATTTCTCGGTCGTTTTCGACACATTTTGCGATTGTAACACTATTATTTTTTAATCCTCTTCTAACACAATAACTTTTCACGTACCTTGGCTCTGGTCGCAATACCGTCGAGACATTTCGATAAGGATTCGCCGGGCTGTATGTTACATTTTCCATTATTTAACCACCAAACAAAAAATAACAAAACACTCCCGTTAAAACTTGTATTTCGTATTTTATTTTTTTCCGAAATTATTTAAGATTTTTTCTACTACTTTCTAATACCGGTCAAATACGACAAATTATTGGATACGAAAGTGAAAGGCTTTTATACTTGCAATTTGCAATGAGATTTTAAATTATTTTTAATGTAATTTATATGTACAAACATACACACATCCAGACATACGTATGTATCTAGTTTAATTATTTAGTAAAGAAATTAGATTAACCACCAAGTGCTTGATATTGGATTTTATAGAGGATTAAAAGAAATACTTGTACTTCAGCTTTGATTTTGGATATTTTTTTAGAATTTTCTGTTCTAAGTATGGTTATTTTTAGTTATTCTTTGGTTTCTGAGTGAAATGAACTTGTGCTAGTTTATAGAAATCAGGACCGTATCGGAAAGATAGATAGATCGATAGATAGATAGATAGATAGATAGATAGATAGATAGATAGATAGATAGATAGATAGATAGATAGATAGATAGATAGATAGATAGATAGGTAGATAGATAGATAGATAGATAGATAGATAGATAGATAGATAGATAGATAGATTGATAGATAGATAGATAGATAGATAGATAGATAGATAGATAGATAGATAGATAGATAGATAGATAGATAGATAGATAGATAGATAGATAGATAGATAGATAGATAGATAGATAGATAGATAGATAGATAGATAGATAGATAGATAGATAGATAGATAGATAGATAGATAGATAGATAGATAGATAGATAGATAGATAGATAGATAGATAGATAGATAGATAGATAGATAGATAGATAGATAGATAGATAGATAGATAGATAGATAGATAGATAGATAGATAGATAGATAGATAGATAGATAGATAGATAGATAGATAGATAGATAGATAGATAGATAGATAGATAGATAGATAGATAGATAGATAGATAGATAGATAGATAGATAGATAGATAGATAGATAGATAGATAGATAGATAGATAGATAGATAGATAGATAGATAGATAGATAGATAGATAGATAGATAGATAGATAGATAGATAGATAGTAGATAGATAGATAGATAGATAGATAGATAGATAGATAGATGATAGATAGATAGATGATAGATAGATAGATAGATAGATAGATAGATAGATAGATAGATAGATAGATAGATAGATAGATAGATAGTAGATAGATAGATAGATAGATAGATAGATAGATAGATAGATAGATAGATAGATAGATAGATAGATAGATAGATAGATAGATAGATAGATAGATAGATAGATAGATAGATAGATAGATAGATAGATAGATAGATAGATAGATAGATAGATAGATAGATAGATAGATAGATAGATAGATAGATAGATAGATAGATAGATAGATAGATAGATAGATAGATAGATAGATAGATAGATAGATAGATAGATAGATAGATAGATAGAATAGATAGATAGATAGATAGATATAGATAGATAGATAGATAGATAGATAGATAGATAGATCAAATCCCAGATGATGAGGTCAGATTCGGATTCAGCGGGGCTTGTGGTATTAATTTTTTCTCTACTTATCACTTGGATTTAAAAGCCCTTCCAATCATAGTACGTCCCTGTTTTTTTCAATCTTAATCATCTTAATCAGATTAGTAAAATAAAAGTCATGCCTAAATTCTAAACAGTTCTGTTAGAATAAAAATTCCTAGAGTATGCTTACTTAGATTTTATTTTCCTACTTTAATATGGAACATACATTTAGTTATTCATTTCCTGCGATTAAACACGTGACTTTTGATCAGTCTAAAAAGTCAACAAATATAGACTTAACAATTTCTTGGCAATGCAGGAGAATCTGAAACTAAACGCCAAATTTATAAATTGTAATGCGAATGATTTTCGATATTTAATAAAAGTAAAAATATTCGGAATTGAAAAACATTTCAATCCAATTTGTACACATTTTTGTAATGTTGGACTGACATAGACTTTAGATCTCATAACTATAAGTGGTAAATTTTGTGCCTTACTTTAATACAAAAATATCTACTAGAATAGTGTGATTTGTGAACTTGTGTATATTTTTTAGTCACTCTTTTATTTACCTTTAA